GTGCCTAACGGCTTCAGCAACATAAAAAATGAAAAGAGATCAATTATTTTACAAAAAGTATATTATATAATGAAATTATTCATGTAATATATTCATATAATTCATGCTAATTATAATATTAAGGATTTCACCAGCAAATACAACATTGTAATTTTCCCCCTCTCAAATAATTTCTAATTTATGCACAGTCAGATGCTGATCTCTTTCTGAATTTCTATGTGGAATATTTAGTGATGTCTCTCATTTTGGGTTTTGGCCATATTTGCACACTTTAGATCTGTCCAAATGAGAGCCCTAAGGATGATTTTTGTCTGATCCTGAAAGAAGTATGGATGCCTTCCCTGGCTGCTGTTTAAATTTTTGTGTTATTACAGGCCTTTCTTGGCCAGAACAAGCAAAACTGTGATGCCATCCCTGTTGGTTAAACTGAAACTGCATCCTGGTTGTGGAAAACAGATGCTCTGTCAGATGGATGGTAGAAATTTCACGGTTGTACAATTACACTGTGAGATGTAGGAGGCTATGCCATTTTGCCTGGTGCTGAGAGGCCTAGAGCCACCTGCATATTCTCTGGTTAACCAAAAGAGAAGGAAAAGTTGGAAAATAGAAGGTGTATACAAAGGAAGAATGTGGCAGATGAGCCCAGAATAAAAAAGTGAAATGGGAAAGAGAAGACAAGTGAGTGTGGAGATGATCTGTCTTATGAGAACGTGGCTTTAGGTGAGCTCTTGGTTTTGGCCAGCGGAAACAAGGACTTCAGGTGCATTGTCTTTATAGATGTCTGAATTTCTTGTATTAGATTTAGGCAGTTCTCTGGTGGTTTTTTAGGACATCCCACCTTAAAACTGATATATAAACAGGACTGCTTGCTTCTTTCCAATCTCTGTGCAGCACCTGAAATAAAATGAGCACAGCAGCTAGCAGAGTGAGGGAACTAAATACACAACGTGGAGAATGCATTGACTTTCACGTTTAATAGGTGTGATGCTTCAGCTGATGCAGAACAGCAGCTTTCCAGCAAATCCAGTACATCAGTGTAGTTCCTTCTTTGGATTTGTACTAGCTCTGTGTTTTGTATAGAAGAAGATATGTATGAAAGAAATCAGTTTTGAAATGATTACTTGCTTTCCTTCTGGCATTTTGTAGAACGCGCTCATCGGCTTCTTTCAGTTCCCCTTTAATGTGTTTGGAAAGATTTGTTATAGCCAAATAATGCAATTGGCAGAACACACTGGGCACCTTATTGTGACAGTAAGAGCATAAATTTTTGAAAGAGAATTTCCATTTTCTTCCCAAATAACTTTTCAAAAAGGCCAATATTTAGAGTAGCAGTAGAAGAGTAGCCTCTAATGTACCATGGTAGCAGCTGCATTTTATTTTATTTCATTTCTGACACATTGATGTTTGGCATTTGTAGGATTTGAGGAATAATGATATTTAAAGAATTGTACGCTTAAAAAAATACATTTTTTTTTTCCCATTGCTACTGGCAAAGAATGCGTTAGTGATGTTTATTGCTACTATTCCAATATTGAAGACTAAATGTCTTTAGTGTTTTTTCTTTGTTTTTAAGGCAGAAAACATTGCTGAATGGCTTTTCCCCTTATGTTGTATTTTATTTCAGTAGGAATTCTTGCCCTTTTTTGTTATTGTTGTTTTGTTTCTCTACTTCCTGAACTGTTTCAGGGTATATTGGAAGGACACTGTGGTAATACGGGAGTTACAAAGAAATTCTTATTTCTTTCATGACTGTTTTTAGAGGTGAAAATGCACACCGTTTTAACACTTTTAAAGGAATCTAAAGGATGTGATAAAACACCGCAAGAAATTCAGAGGCAGGGTGACCATCTGTAACTTCGTCTCTTTGTCTCAGAACAGCAGTATAATGGCACTGTGCATTAATATGTTAGACTTAGAACTTGAATAAAGGTCTCGTAAACTTCTCCTTAAAGGTGTGAAAAAGGGGGAAAATATAACCCCTCATTTTTCCACTTCGTCCTTGTCTGTTTTTGTTTAGCAGGGGAAGGGTATAGTGCTTGAAGAACATCTAATAGGACATTAATTATTAATGACTAGGCTTTTTTTTAAGTGCACAAGCAGATTGAAATGTTTAAAATATTTTTTTCTTAGACCCTGCTTATTTCAAACACTTATTTAATGTGTTTGAAGCTGGGGTGTTGGTTTCTTCAACTGCCTTGTGTTCCTTATTTTATTCTGTTATTCATTAGTATTGCAATGGGATCTATAATTTTGTTGCTGATAGAGACTCTATGGTGGAGGTAATCTGAACCTGATCTGTGAATGCTCCTTCTCTAAATATCCCTTTACTGTGGCTTCTCTCCCCAAAATGCTGCATTACTACCTACCTTTCCTTATTCCTTTACTTCTCCAAAGTAATCTTAGAGGTTTTTTTACTTCCTTTCCCAATGTGCCTGATCTAATTCTGTGGACCAACATATATTGTGTCTTAAACCAGAAATGCAGTGTTGTCTGACTCCTGTGGCCTCTAGATGTATGAAGAACTCTTTTACACATCTTTTTATTTCCAGGAAAAATACAAAATTTTGTTTTAAGACTCTCCACTGAATTATTGTAGCCTGATGCAAAGACCTTGGGTGGGATGAATGATACATTGAATGAGTGATGTATGCATGATTCCGCGTAGTATGTAGCCTGTTTAGTAATATTAGAAGTGAAGGTATTATTTAATCTTTTCCACTGTTTCCCATTACTTTGAGGACTTTTAGTTTTGAATTCTGAAATACTACCATAGGATTTCCAGGAAGGACTAGGAGAACTCTCTGGTGCAACTGGGAATCTTTGTCACCATTCTTTTGGGTGACATTAACTTTTGCTAATGGTTTGTTTTTTTCCTTTTCCTTTTTTCTCATTGCATATGTATCTTGGTTTTTTAAAGTCTGAGTTGTGGTTGTTTTCATTGACTCAAGCCAAGGTCGTGTATTGGACTTCATATTGCTTTAGACCTACACTTAGGTTTGAGTCACAGGATTATGAATATTTTTTCATATTTTGTTGAACGTGATGCAGAAAAGTACAATTCCTGAGGAACAGCAACATCATTTCTTTTTGGTCTTATTGAATTACCATTTGAAATGTAGAGATCTTCTGTTGGTCATGACTGTACCAGGAGAAACCAGATCTGGTCTTTAGACAGCACTTAGCTTTTTTAAAGTTTACTACTTTTCAGGTGAGCATTCTCTTTTGGGTCCCAGGTGTCTTATTGTATATAGCACTTTATCCACTGTTGAAAAAATATGAGATGAATATTTATTTCATCACTAGACAGAATTCTTGACTTATGTTCCTGTGATGTAAGGGGCTTGTGTAAGAGAATCTGTAGAGTATTTTTTAGGTCTTTTGAAAAGTATCACTGTTTAAAAGAAGTCATGCATAACAAACCAGGAATTTTCATGACTACTTCTAAGTGCAAGCAAAGCAAAATAGTTATGGTATTCTGTGCTGCATGTGATATTCCTGATATCCAATATGTGTTGATTTCCATTCTTCCTTTTCTCTGTTGTCTTCCAGCTATCTTGTTTCATGTGTATTTGTATTCTCATGGCAGATTTTTTTAATTTAAAAAAAAAAAGTAAATCTGTAGTGTACTGGGTTTTTTTTCTCCTTTTGATAAGGAGATTACTGAAACTATTGAAGGTAAAATTACAGTTTAGCATAAAAGTATTACACTGGAATTAATTTAAAGAGAAAAACTTGAAAAAAAAATTTGAATGCTTTTTACATTTGCTTTAGCAATATGTGTTGAATGTTTAGTGTATTAATGGCACATAATTTTAAAGTCATGTAAAGGAGCCAAAGCTCCTTTGGAAAATGGAGAAATACTTTCTAAGTCCTTTAAAAAGTTAATCTTTACAATCAAGACTTGCTAAGTCTTGATTTAGAGAAGATGTCATGGGATTAGTTTATCATCAAAAAATAAAAAGATTGATAAAGTTTAATGCTCTCTCTCTCTCTATATATATATATATGTTCCGTGAGTTATGAAGCTTAGTGAAATCTGCCATCATTTGGTTTTGAGTCCCATAACCCTCATACTTTTCTTGCTTTCCTTTCCATTCATTGTCTTTTGCTGCTATTGCTGTAAGCCCACTTTCTTATCATGTCCTCTGGCACTTTGTCACCTTCATTTCCTCCAGTTCCTGTCTACGGACTCCATCCCTCCCAAATATCATCTAGGTGAGACATGTCCAGTTTGTGTGGGTTTCCGCTATTAAGATCCTGTAAGATACCATTGACCCTCAAGCAGGTCTTCATAACAAATTTAGTATTTTCAGAGCTTCCTTTTAAATGTGGCACATTTAACTAAAATGTAGCAATTAATGAGCAAACAAAAAACCTGTGGATCACTCAGCCTTTTTTCTGGTAATGTGTGAGTTGTGCTTGTTATCTATATGTAGGAACAGGTGCACTTAAGAAAGACTAAATATTGAAGACAAAGATTCTTTTCTTCACAGAATGCTTTAGTACTGTTCACTTGGTAAGAAGAACTGGTGGCTTGCTTTCAGGGAATATGTGAGGTGCAGAGTCATGGTCTAGTTCTTTAACAAGAGATGGTTTAATGGATAGGGATAGTCATAGTAGGAGAGGAGAAGGAGGAAGACCACAATAAAATATATGATAATATACTATTTAAAAAATGGTGTTATCTATTTAAAGCTGAAGTTATGTCAAGATAACACTGAATACCTAGCCCTTAACTTGAGGTGGAATGTAGTACTGTACTCTTCTCACTGCTGTCACACATCTCTATTTTAATACCTATGCTGTCTAAGATTGTATGTGACTGCTCTCAGGAGATGGACCTGATGATTGCATGTGCTGCAGATGCCATATGGAAGAAAACAATGCTACTGCTTATGTGCTTTATGCTTTTCCCAATAAAGGATACTACAAAGAGCTAAGTATTTTTTCTTGTTTATTTATATATACACGCTTCTTTTTTTTCTGTGTATTTTTTTCAGCTCATGGAAAAAACTGACAGAGAGTACTACACTCTGGATGACATGTTTGTTTCCAAAGCAGCCAAACGAGCACGCAGTGGGGAAGAGGAAGAAATGCAAAGAAGAAAAGCAATACATGAACACCAGCAGCTTGCTGCACGCATGGAAAAGTGCCCATACTGCTTTGATAGCAGTGAACTTTCTAAACATCTTATTATTGCAATTGGCACCAAGGTAAGAAAACAGCAATTTAACACAAATGTGAAAATAAAAAAGAAATAAAGGAAGGCAGTGTTAATGTTAGTGTGCCTAAGACTAAGAATGAAATTGCTTCTATGAAATAATTTATTGTTCTGCATTTTATTTTCCTTGCCCTTCCAGCTGATTTCACAAATTCCTCAAGGATAGGGAGAAAAAGATATAAATCTGTCATGAATTATAAAGCTAATCTGTGATATCAGAACTTCAGATTTGTGGAAGACAGGAGCAATAATGCTAGATCTGAGTGATTAGACTGTAGGTGGATTTGTGGAAGACACACTGCAATGGATGAAATTTCAACTGGTGAAGAATTGTATCTCAATTATATCAAAGAAAATTAAGTGGAGAATTCAATTTTTAAAGCTTAAAATACTTTGACATAGGCAGAAGCTTGGTACAGCGAACCTTCTTGTTTTTGTTAATGCTTTTAAAAGTTTCATAAATATTTGGATTTATAACATATGAAATGCTTCCGTAAAGGCTTTTCCTACAGTTTTCCAAAGTTTCAGTTTCTCCAAAGTTTTCAATTTTTATTAATATTTTTCATTTGATTTGAAACTTTCTATGGGTGAAGGAATTAAATGCAGAGATATGTATTACGGCACATTGCACTTATTTTTTATATAGATATATTCTGTGTGTGTGTGTGTGTATATATATAAATATAAAATCATAGAATGGTTTGGGTTGCAAGGGACCTTAAAGATCATCTAGTTCCAATCCCCCTGCCGTGAGCAGAGGCACCTTCTACTAGACCAGGTTGCTCAAAGCTTCATCCAGCCTCATCCAGCATGCATACAGATAGGTATCTGTGTGTGTGTATGTATGTCTGTGTATATGTATGTGTTTATATATCTAATAGATTGATATATGCATTTTTAATATATATTATATTTATTAAAATGCATGCAGGTATATATCTATTTTAAAATATATTGTAATGGACTAAACAGTGTGATTGTATAATAATTAGGATATTGACTGGTCTGTAAGGCTGATAGTACTGCCTTGGTGGATACTGCTGGCTGTCTGGATACTACTAGTTCATTGGAGCTACTGATGGATAACGGGAGCTGTTTAAAAACATTAAAATTACTAATACCTTGCTGTAATTAGAAGGTAACAGCTTCTGTTGGTTTGAATTTTAGCAAATTATGTATTTCTTAGTCTTAGCAATTGGTAGGTTTTTAATACTAGAAAAAATGGGCACTTCAGTTGTTTGCTTTTTACAGGTATACTTGTCTCTACCAAGCAACCAGTCCCTTACTGAAGGTCACTGCCTGATAGCCCCTCTACAGCACCATACTGCAGCCACTCTTTTGGATGAAGACATCTGGGAGGAAATCCAGGTCAGCTGAGAAACTGTCTCATGTTCTAACATGTTTGTAAAATCGTGTTGTTTTGAGTAATAATATACTTGTTATAAGTTTCCATTTTCATAATTTCCAGCCTGGCAGCTCTTTTCTGATTCCACTGAGGGGCAGAACATTCTTGTATTATGGAAGAAAATTAATGGTGAAAAATTGAAAAAGGGAGATGCAGGATAAACACTGAAGAAAAGTTCTTATTTATAAGCACTGGAAAAAGTTGCCTGGCATGCTGCT